ATGAAAAATATTCAAGGTACACTGACCCTCCGTGCCATGTTAGAATATTGATATATTGATTGTAACCCATTGAGGCAGTATGTTCCCTGTTTCATTTCTAGGAATTTGATCCTGGAAGTCTTGGAAAGACTAAGGAAGAAAACAAGGTAATTAAATGCAGGTGTAAATACTGAGAAAATATAAGTGCCATGAATCAATATCAAATATGGTACTGTCTAGATTAAATGCTGGGTCCCAAATAAGTGCTTGGTGTTGTTATCAGCATTTCAGGCACTTATCTCGGGTGTTGTAAGCTGTAGGTATAATGGCGAGATGTAATATATGGGCTTGGCTGTCACAAATAATGAGCAAGCTCCCTACCTTAATAAACACCAGGATCCAATAAACTACAGCCAGAATCGAATGAATACCAGCTGAGATCTGCCAGGCCAAGCTTGAAATAAAAGCAGGGGGTATTTAATCAAGATACTATGGAGCATGTATTTTTAAAGTGAAAAAGATAAGTTATATTCTTTACTTCCCGAATGAAACTGTTCTCTCTCAAAAATTGATGAANATTTAATCAAGATACTATGGAGCATGTATTTTTAAAGTGAAAAAGATAAGTTATATTCTTTACTTCCCGAATGAAACTGTTCTCTCTCAAAAATTGATGAATATGCTTTTAGAGGAGTGGAGAGAATTTATAGCTATGTTAGATGAACACTTATAACAATACACAGTTACAGACGCTTGTGGCCCATGCAAAAGTTCAGCTGATGAAACAAAAGCCATCTGCGATTATGAAAACAAAACAAAAAGTTGGCATGATTGAACTCAAATGATCGATTTTCATTCTGTTATTTTGTTGTAAAGGATAATGAAGATGAATCCAGTGTGAACAGACCGCACAGTTCTTCAAAGCTGTCTAAACAGCCTCCGCCCACATATTACAAAGACAAGTATCGGCACTTACTGGGTTCAGACAGTGGAAAGGACGCTGCTAAAGCCACAAAGAGTAACTCGGCTTACGGTTATGGTAAGTGCACTGTGAGGTGGGTCACTGTAGCCATGAGCTTGCTGTAACCAAGCTGAGACACAACAGCTCGTTAAACAAAGTTAATTAATTTATTTTTACTTTGTACAAACGAATTCGTAAACTGACAACTGAATCTGAGTGGGAGCGATTTTTTTCTCGTGTGATGGCGTGACCAGTACAGTTAACCACCACACATATCTGAGTCTTCGGCTGATTTCATGTTGTGCTCATATTTGGGCCGTCACGTACCTCTTCTCCACACTAAGGCCCTGCCCACACTACGCCGGAGGCATTTGAAAACGTAGTTCCTCGTCTGTCCTCGTAGCTCTGTCGGCAGGGCAACAATGTGTGAATCCGGAGGTCATTGGTCCAAATCCCAGCGAGGTTAAAATAGTTTTTCTTTACTTTCTTCATAAGTACGTTAATGGCTGTTGATAGGGGCACATCCCAAAAAGAGACTCTTTGGCCCCGACCAAGCTACGTCGGAGAAATTTGAAAACGCAACAATCATCGGCCATTTTGGATTTGTCTTCGACTAGGGAAATCATCTGATTATCGTAACGTCATCGTTGTCGAAAAGCTCCGTTTTCAAGATGTTTTTCGTCCACACTAAAATGCAAAGGCGGCGTTTTCAAACTCCCCCGGTTTGAAGAGCGTTTTCGATAAGCTCCATTTTGGTGACGGGTTAGTGTGGGCGGTAGACCTAACCTTAGAAATAAAGCTTCGTTTTCAAATTTCTCCGGCGCATTGTGGACGGGGCGTTTGCCCACAGTTTTCAGATTGAATAGGAATTAGAAATTGTTGGGTTTTTTGTAAGTCTCGTTGTATCTGAATTTTTGCAGTTCCGAGTGAAAACAAGAGAGACGTTCGATCGATAGAGGAGACTCTAAATGATATTCGCAAGAGGAAGAAGTTTCGACCCGATGACCTTGATGACGAAAATGAAGAAGATTAGACATGATCAAGAACAATTCCCATTTTAATTTGCTCCATCACTGGGAGTTTTTAGGAGTTGTCTTGCACTGGAAACTGCCCAGTACTTGTGGTATTGTGCAATGGACCACACGCTTTACACAAGCTGGTGCATTGCAATTTGTTCAGAATCCGTTAAAACGTAACGACTACAGGTGAATCCAACAAAGTGGATTAGAAGAGTTCTAGTCCAGTTTTGGTCGACTCCAATATTGTCCTTTCTGTCTTAGCTCGTTTTTGATATGTTTTGTATAGTTTAGTTTGAGAGAAGCAACCTCGATCCCAGGCTCTCTCCTTTGCCTCCCTCGTCGGAGGTAAAGTAGAGAGATCCTGGGATCAAGGTTGTGAAGGAAGTTGGTTTCATTTAGTTTTCTGATTTCCAATATAGAAATAGAAAACATGTACCGTGTTTCTATCGAGTTTTCGTAGAATTCTACTAGTATACTAATGCAAATGCTGTAATCTGAATGGCTGAGCTACTCGTATACTACCAGCCATTAGAGTGTAGTAGCGGTCGGTCTTCCACGAAATGCGACGTTTTTATCATTTTCCCGAAGTTTTGGAAGAAAGTTTAGATGTAAATAGATAATTTAATTGCTGAGAAGACTGAAAGAAGGAAATTAACGGTTTCTTGACTTTACAAACTTGAAAATATTGAAAAATCGGGTGCACGCGCGTAAACAACTGCAAATTTACCAAGGACAATTCAATACGTGCGATTTTGTTAAAGCGTGAAGTTCAATAATGCATAGAAAAATAATTGAAAACCGTTATTTGCGTCAATTTCAGTGAGAATTCTACTAAAACAATTAGATTATTCGCTCTCGATTTCTATGAGGTAATATGAAGGCCTCATCAACTATCAACTTGTAGAAATCTCGAGCTCATAATCTAATTGTTAATTAGAATTTCCTTAAGTGTCATGACATTTCCACTTGAATTTTGTTACAAAAATGTAAATACACGTTAAGGAATTACTCACTACCTGTGGATTTTAAAAGTTAACTCTGTTAGCGCTAAATAGGACCCTTTCTAAAAATACACAGCGATTTTCAACTGACGTTGTCTTAATATGACGTCGAAGGATTTTTGTTTAGGTATGACAAACAACGTTAAATTCGGCAGCATCTGCCGCTTCTACCGCGCATTTGTGGAGAGGCCGCTGATTAAATTGGCGCTCTTATCACAGGGAGACCCCTATTTTGTACGCCGGTACGCAATTATTAGGTAAAAATTTAACAAAATACCGAAGGGGTCTCATTATCTTGAAAATATCACTAGTATAATCTTTTATTAAAGTTCAAAATAAACGTAACCTTACTTCAACGCTGTTCTTATCGCTGTCTTTGTGGCTCAAAGGGCCAATTTAACTGAAAGGTCTGGCGTTGGCTGTTACTACACGCTATTACAGTAGTCTTCTTGTAAGCTATAAGTTGTTGTAACAGCTGAAATTCAGGCTAGTCTGTTCAGAATGTAATGTGGCCCATGACATACTGACTTAGCGTCCTTTTTGACTGATGACTCATGTGATTCATAAAACTTGGACTTCCATTGTGTGGAGTTATTCACATCAGTCAGTGAACGGTGTTTGTAAATTTAACAAAAAGATTCCATGTTGCCGTTTGTCTGTTCAGTAATAGATCACAGATGACGTCATCGTGTGGTAACAAAAGAGTGGCACATGAGCCGTCGTTAGGCGAGCGTGTCACTGATGTTCTTACCACATTTCTTACCACATTTCTTACCACATTTTGACGTCATCTGTGATCTATAACTGAAAAGACGCACGGCAACATTCTCTCGTAAGTAAAATTTTCGATTGTTTTTAAGACCTTGAGGATGACAAAACATGAATCAGAGTGGTGTTAAAACATCAAGACCGGGTTGTTCGAAAGCCGGTTAACGCTAACCCAGGACTAAAAGTTCAACGAAGTATTGATTTTTTTTGTATAAGAATGTTTTTCACTGCCTATGTTTTATGAAGTTTGAGATTATTCAAACGCAAGACCGGAAAACAAACAATATAAAACGGAAACGTCACCGAAAAGTTACAAATATGAAATCAAAATTCTCGCTAATCCTGGATTAGCTTAATCGGGCTTTGAGCAACCCGGCCCAGATTTTTAAAACGACAACGATGTTTAATTAGATCGAGATACAAGTTTGCCGACTGCAGGCAGTCGTGTGGAGAAAGCAAAATCTATCACCACAAAAACTGAAGTCTTGTAAAAAATGCGCCGACAGTAAATGACGATTAATTTATTTGTACGAAAATGTAACAAGGAAACAATGGGGAAAAGTTCTTATTCCTTCATTTCTTTAGAAACAAGAAACTACAAACCTTACGTGCAAAACACGATCGTCGTTTTAAGCAATTTAGGTGAGAAAACGGCACATCACTTAACACCATTTGACACCAGTAAACTTGTCGACTTTTATTAGGTCGTTGTCTTTGCGTGAACTAAAATAATTTCAAATTAATACTAATATCGAGCGGTCTAATTTGGATAGAGGGGCCGAGAAAAACGGCTATGCCATAAATTTCTATTGTTGGAACGATTTAATATTACAGTTGGTTTCACAAATTTTTATTGCATCTCGACCCAACTTTAGCTAAATTCCCCGTTGCGAAATAATGTATTCAATGGCAGAGTTTGTTTTTCACGTGAAAAGTCATCTAAAACATCAAACACTCCCGAGATAATTTTTTTTCTCCCCTGTCATAACATAATTACTTTGTGTCAAGAATGGCGTCTCGCTGCCGACAACAACCGCACATTGTGCTCCAAACTGAAAACGCTCAAGAAATATTTGTGTGCATAAATTAGTTTATCGAAGGCACAGCTGCAACACGAAATATTAAAATGTAAGATAAAGTTTTCCTTTGCGCCTCTGCATGGGGCTTTTCGTCTTTTTTCTTTTTATAGCTTAATGCTCATTTTTACACGCTTAGGTCACGAAAAAAAAAAAAAAAAACACAGAAACTACTTTGACCAATTTTTAAAATTATATTGTTGCTGGTTTCTTGAACTAAAGCACCAATTTATGGCGTTTATAGAAAGAAAAATAATTACTGTGAATAAAAAAGATTAAGGCCTGAATTTGCATTTCTTCACAATAATTGTATTTCATAGTTAAGTCGTTATAATTTTAACCCGTAGTTAAAGTCTATTCACTCGTTCAGTTTTGTACCAACGTTTTCTTCATGTGTTTTTAGATACTTTTAACTTTAAAGACGTTGTGATTTTTGATATCACTGAATCATTCCGGATCCGTAGCGATTTTCCAGCCAAGAAAGACATTTTATTTCAATTTCCCTCGTTAGACTTTCCACACTTTTCCAACGCCTTGTTTTTAACGCTTCGTCGTTGTTTTTCTCGTTCGCCCCGGAAGAGTTCTCGTTAGCAACCCAACTTTTGCCCATCTCTGTGTTTCTTCTTGCTTTCTTGGTAAAATAATTTTCTCGAGTCTGCATTCGGGTTGAGTCAAACGCAATTTTTGGCCATACGCATTGGCTGTGTATTTTTAGAGGTCTCCTGGTTGTAAGTGGTCCAAGATCGCTGAATCTTGTCGCGTAAATGGGGCGGTTATTGTTTAAAGAATAATGTTGATTTTTGGTGGATTTTGCAGTTAAGTGAAAGTTTGTAGTTTGCGGTCTCGACAAAATATTGCAGTTTGATTTCCTTGTAATCAACGTAGCGTCGCTTTCTTCGGTGGAATTATTGTAGTTAGCTTTGTCTTCTGTTGTATCCTCACTAGTATGGTTTTTATCGTCCTTCGCGATTTCGTCAACTTCCTCCTCGCAGTTCTCTTCGGTGTTTTCGGGAATGCGTTTCGAATTTATCAGAGACGAGCGAACATTTCGGATGAACCTTTGCGGATGAATTATCCTCTGCCTTGTTTTTTCGCGAAATTTGTAGCTTGCTCGTGATTTTTCAGCGCGCGAGTCTTCATCGACAGAATCCCCTCTGACTTTTCTTACTTCACTGGGAAGAAGATCCAGTTTTCCTAGCGAGATGACAGTTTGTTTCATTTCTTCAGACATCGGAAACAGTTCTGGAGTTCCCGGTCGCCTCATCGGTGGCATTTCTGCCATATTACTGCTGTGTTTTCGTTCTCGCTTTGTCACCAAACGATGAGGCACCTGATCCTGGGATACAGCTGCGCTTTTGGAAGACGAGGCCGAATTCATGCAGTGACCATTTGTCGTTTTCCTCGTAAACATATTGGCGAGCATAACTTGCCTGGCTACCCTTCGAAAATTAAGTGTTTCTCTTGTTATTTTACCGTTTCTAAGAGGCACCTTTCTTGTCCGCGGCAAAGACCTCGTCGGTTCCATAATCGCTCAGTCTCGTTTCGTCGACATAAACCTTGGTGGCTGAGGACAAGACAAGCAGCTAAAATTACGCGACAAATTTACATTTATATTTACTCTCACAGTGACAGCGTACTTTCTTTTGAGGCGTTTTATCTAGTGATACTAAAAACAATTTCTCTAGGAGACAGACGTCTAAACGAGGAATGAGATTTATGGAAATAATTGCGCGTCATCAACCTGGCCGCTTTTCGTTCCGTAAATTAATAATTTCAGCGTATTTGACTTTCAAAATAAGTTAAATCTTACCTGTAAATAGCGGTCTATTTATTCCCAATTACACCAAAAATCCTGAAATTCTTATTGAAATTACGTTTAGCAAAGGATTGTTTGTAAATTGATGCAAATAAAAGAGAAGGCTATTGAATTTCTTGACGGACATCGCTATCAATTTACCAACTAGAATATGAAATCAGTTATTCACGAGATGCTAAAAGCCGGATGTCTTATGATGTTTTCTTTATGTTAGATATTCAGAAAAACATAATTGCTATAATCTAGAATAATTATTATGGTACTGTAGAGTACGAATGTGTACCGAAGACAGAGTAACACTGAACAGTCACTGAACTTTTTAAAAGACTGCTCTGGAAGCACAGCAGAAGCGAAAAAAAACGAGCAGCCTTCTGGCACAACATGAGGAACCAGCCCGACATTTATAACGGCATTGAGTACGCCTTTTTACCCCAAAGGCGTGACCCTCAGACATGCCTGGGGTTAACAAGAAACGCCGTAACGAACACCATTATCCGCCGTGTTACTAGTTAGATCTAGAACACGTATCGTATGCAAATGATCTAGTGTTTTGACTATAGAGTGAATTCGTATAACCCGTTTTTTATATGCTAATAAGAATCACTAAATGGTAATGAGAAAAACAATTAAAACAGCACGCACCAAACTGAAACCAATGTCACTTCCCATTCTGGAATTTAAGAACACAAGAACAATCTCGCGAGGTGTTCCAAATTTTCGAAAATTTCTTTCCCGGAATTTTGTCC